GCGTCCAGAGTCAGAACGTGGAGGCGCAGCGTGACGATAGGACAGAAGGCGGAGAGGAGCTGAGTGCACGCCGTGGGCAGCCGTGTGCCTCAGGGTGATTCTGTCTCTGCTCCTCAGGCTTCGCCTCGCCTGCGGTGACCGAATCGTTCATCCGGAAGGTTCTCACTGCCATTATTCCCATTCCCCCCATAGACCAGCCAGTTCCTCCCTCGCCGTGAGCTCCCGAGACGCCACCACACATGCAGCTGTGGGGACCCTGTCGCGCTCAGGACAGGAAGCATCTGCCGTTTTTCTAATCCGACCGAATGGTCAAGGGACTTGTCCCTCAGAGCTGAATTATCCAAAGTGCTCCAGGATTCAACAGAGCAGCACAGAAAGGACTTTACATTTTTAGAAACGTATCTCAGAAGGAGGATATGTTAGGAAACGGTTCTGTGTTGAAGATGGCTGTGAACATGAGCATCTTCTCTAGTCTGGAAAGCACATCACTGTGTTCGTCCTCACGGAATTGTCTTTCCCGTCAGTGGACAGACCTGCACGTGCTCATAAGGACACACGTTTACACACACAGACAACGATGGTACAGATAGGTTTGCATACCATTTAAAGTTGTATTCTTTTTAGTGGGGTGAACTATGAAATTAAACCATAACTTACGAGGCATTAAGTGACCATGTTATCTAAGTTTCTCAAATTGTAAGAATCCAAAAAATATTTACCACAGGATGTACAAAATCTGCTGTTAGAAAAGTCTATGATCCCTGAATATAACTTTCTTACCTTTAATATAACAAGGGAACTTTCATTTAATAAATGCAGACTAGGCCATGCCAATGTATTTTGAAAATATAATCCTCCATGCAAAAGACAGGCCAACTGGACAAAATATAATTTTGATGAATTAAATTTGAATTTAATGTAATCTGAAATGAATTACTCAGATATTCTTCCCTGTTGTTCAAACAAGCAGAAAGTGATAAAAAGAACACGAGCAGAGTTTGACCACATAACCACCACTTACTGAAAATCATCGAATCTTTCTGGGCCTGACTTTTTAGTGAGCACAATGAAATGGTTTCTACCTATCTCACACAACTCACACAAGCACAGAAGATCCAGCATAATCCCGAACCTTAATATACACGCTAGATGTGTACATTGTTGGCAATATTTTGTTCATAGGTAACTACGATGCTGGAGGATCCTTGGAATTAAAATAACTATCTAATTTCCAGGTTACAAATAATGGTCCTTCTATAATCTGGGGGCCCTGTTGTAATAATCTGGGGGTTTATCTAAAACAAAACCGCCTGGACTGCACAGTCCAATTTATGTTAGAGCGTACGCCGCACCAGATAAAACAGTGACCCCATCCCACGAGCAGAAATGGACTCTGCATCTGCTTGTAAGGCTGATGTCGTGTGGCCCTTTCACGATGCCTGCTTCCTCATGTTAGACGGTGGCCCGCTGCTTGTGGACGTGCATGTGTGTGAGCCAGACTCTTGGCATTGTCTGGAATGCTCTCCTCTGCCTGGTTCACGCTTGCGTTACTTCTCTCTTAACTGAAGTCACTGTCTCTGCCTCTATTTGCTAAGATAAAGGCACAATCCACCTTGGAGGGAACCCGCTGACAGCTTGGGATATGATGGCCACTGAGAGCAGAAACCAAGGAACATGAAAGATTGACTCAAGAGGGTGACCCAGAGCTCCGGCCACCAGACAAAAGAGGGACAGCCCCTGCTTCTCACAAGCGTATGATTTCTGCCAAATCGACTCAAGCTGTGGGCAGAGGCACGCAGTATGGGATGCCCTGGACTCACTCTGCGTTTCTCACCCTAAAGATGTTATCAATGCCGGCACTCAACCTTTGTTGGCGGTGATTTTGGCACTAAATTTACCAGGAAGGTAAAATAGAACGTATTTGGTAAGTGAGGACATGGAAACAGGAGATTGTCAGGTATATGGGTGCTTGATCAGCAAATCACTTGGCCCATGGGGGTCTTGGACCATGTGATCATGGGGGCCCTCCAACAGACTTCTCTGTATTACAGCAAATCTCGGTGAAGCAATCTCTAGATAATAGGAACCTAAAGTGATTTCTTCTTAGGAAAGATACTTTTGCTTGACTCAGAAATCGAGCCAGCCTTTGGTGCTTCCCTGCAGAGAACTAGCAATAACCAGAACCACAGTGGAATGTTGTCCACGTGGGCCATCACTGTTTGATCCGAGTGACTCCTCAGGACCTAGGATTCACACGGGAGCCCCTCTGAAAGGGGGTAGATTATTACACTTCGCTGCCAAGGATACTCAGTCAATCGGATGCATTAGTCTTAGAAGGTGCTTAGCTGGGGAGCTGGATGCTGAATATGAATTCTGAATCCAGGAACCTGACAAATGATTATTTATCCTCTTAATGGGCATTTGCCTTCCAACTATGTCCTTGTATGCTTCAGATTCTCACTCAGTGTTTGCTGGTCACCGTGTAGTTGGGTCCTACAGATAGACACTCGGGGCCTGCATCATCCTAATGTAGCCATTCACTTCATGGTTCTATCATACATCCACTTATGCTCATTTACTTGAATGTTTCTAGAAAAATGTCGTTAGTTTTGATCTTCTATCTCACTTTTAAAAACAATTATGTTCTAAGCATTCAAGTTAGAATAATAATTTAAAAAAACCCTGTCTCAATGTCCACAATAGCCAAACTATGGAAAGAGCAGATATGTCCTTCAACAGACAAATGGATAAAGAAGATGTGGTCCATATACACAATGGAATATTACTCAGCCATCAGAAAGGATGAATATTTACCATTTGTATCGACCTGGATGGAACTCAAGGGTATTATGCTGAGTGAAATAAGTCAAACAGAGAAAGACAATTGTCATATGGTTTCACTCATATGTGAAATATAAGAAACAGCACAGAGGATCATAGGGGAAGGGAGGGAAAAATAAAATAAGATGAAAACAGAGAGGGAGACAAAGCATAAGAGGCTCTGGACTCCGAGAAACAAACTGAGGGTTGCTGGAGGGAAAGTTGGGGGGATGGGGTCACTGGGTGATGGTGTAAAGGAGGGCACGTGATGTAATGAGCACTGGGTGTTATATGCAACTAATGAATTATTGAACACTGAATCTGAAGCTAATGATGTACTGTATGTTGGCTAATTGAACTGAAATAAAAAGAAAAGAGACAAACCATATCTAGTTGCATTCTAAAGCTATTTCATTAAGTCTCTGCTTCTTTAAATTATGTCAGTTTGTACTTTAAAAGTAGATTATTTAAAATATTAGCCTAAGTAAACTAAAACTGAAAGTTTAATTCTAGCAAATGAAGAGCAGAACCTACAATGTGGTTAAGACCCTCGGTTAAATTTTGCGTATTTGCAAACCTGTCCTACCAGAGCCCAGGGCACACAAACACCCACGCTTTGAACAGTGCCGCCTGCTTCTGTCCGAGCACAGAAGGGCATCTGGAGGAGCGATACTGCTCACACCTTTATAAGGAGCTACGGTCAGGTGATAAACCAGGAACCAGCTTCAGAAGTTAATGACTTTGCCCAAAACTGCACACATTAGGAAAGTGTTCACAGGCAATTTGCCAAATGGGTCTACTTCCCAAGGTTCCACACACCGTGTTCCAGGAAGGTACCGCCTGTGATTCTCAGCACGCAGCTCCGTCTAGTCAGTGACACGGGGGTGCGGGCTCACGGTCCATGCAGTGGAGCGGGCGGTGCCTACGTGTGTGCTCTGATGCACATCACCGGACTGTCCCCACAGTCTCAATGCTCTCAGTGTCGTGACAGGAGGAACAGTCTGGGGACCCCACACTTTGATGTGTGAGATCTGTGTGCACACACGTATGCACGCAGGTGTGTATGGACATGTGTGCATACCTGCGTGAATGGAACGGTGACCTCAACCTGCTCCAGCAATCATAAAATTCAGGTTCCTGAAGGAGGAACATTAATTTATGTCCTCCACACAGGATTAGCAACAACCAGCCTCACACCTGCCCCATCTAAAACAGCTCTCCGCACTGGCTGAAGCTTCTGTCCTTTGTATCGAGAAATTAGCTCTCCCAGAATTCAGAGTATTGAAGAGCTTTGAGTCCAAGGAGGAAGCATAAGAGAACACACTCCCTTTGCTTTTAAACACATTTGGCATTTCTCTGAGGCAAACTCTAAGCCAATAAAGACTAAATCTAGATTCTTCAGAAAACTCCCACCTTTTTCTAGAAAACAAATGACTTTTAGGAAAGGATTATCTTTCAGATCATATTTATGAGTCTGACACTAAGAGAAAACTGGCTATAAAAACAAAACAACCTTAAATCTATTGCCCAAAGCATGGTCACCACCCTGTGCACAAGCCTTTGCATATGTGTGTCTCGCTCACGACGCTGGACGCCCCAGGTCAGAAACACGGTTCTCAGATGCGAAGCAGATGACACGTCGATAAACTATTCCATTTCACAATATTCCTTCCCACCCCGATCTGTGACAAAAGGTGCAGCTTTGTCCATTGACAGACAAGAATGACGCCCCCGTTGGCGCCCCAGGGGTCTTGCCGAGCTTTCAGCCCCTGGGAAGGCAAGCAGCTGCCCATCCCCACACCACCACTTGGGCTGATACCGTATGCCTTGGGTAGAACATCCAAGAACACGTGAGGTTAAAGACAAGGTGTGCTGCCCTAAGTTTCTGGATAAAGCAGCTAAGATAAGCTAGTCAAATGTGCGCTCGGTGAGCACCATGCACATCAGTGATGAGCAGTCTGAACTTGAGTGAGAGCATCTACTGTCTGGGAGACAAGGAAAGGAATGCTTTCCAACCAGTGCTAAGGACACATGAATCGATATTCGTTTTAGCCTTGACCAGGCAGACTTATTTCGTGAGTAAGAATCGCGAACGTGTCCTGAATAGCAACACCGGGAACTCCACGTCGACACACTGGCCCCAATCACCACTTGATGCGTACTACTATTTTAAAGATTACCATTGTCTTCCTCCTCGTCGTCGTCGTCGTCCTCCTCCTCCTCATCCTCCTCCTCGTCCTCCACGTCCTCCCCATCCTCGTCGTCATCGTCCTCCTCCTCCTCGAGCTCCTCCTCTTCCTCCCGGTCCCCCTCCTCGTCCTCCTCATCCTCCTCCCTGTGCTCGTCCTCGTCTTCCGAGAACTCTTCCTCCTCGTCCTCCTCCTTCTCGTCCACGTCCTCTGAACCCTCGCTCTCGTAGCACTCATCCACCGAGGAGCTGTCGGCTTTCACGGCAAACGGTTTCCGCTTCGGAGCAGGTTCTTGGGGCTGCTTATCCTGTGTTTTTCTTTTTTTAGCCAAGGGGCAGCCATATACGCTGTGTAGAGAGAGAGAGAGATCTGTGTCACTATCTTTGGAGGTTAGAGCAACAGGAACCCCGGTCCGGGAGCTAAGGCTTAGCACGAGCACCATCGACGCAGGGGCAGAGGGTCTGAGCGCACACACACACACGCACACGCACACATTCCCCTGGTCACCACCACACTCGTCTCCCCTCCCAGCCCTTGGTTATGGCCATCACATGATAACGCAGAGGTCCCATGGAGTTCAGGAGGACTTTTTGTGAGGCATTGCCTCCAAATCATGCAGGTGACGACACAAATTCACTTTGTTAAACATCTGGCCAAATACGCATTCTGTGTGATGCACATTTTACAAGAAGCCTTAGTTCATGCACAGTATATTAACAAACGCCCACTTACGTGAAATATAAAAATATGTGTGTTGCGAGGAGGTTTTGGATGTATTTGGATTTTTCTATTCTACAGACAAAATGGCATCTGTAAACATAACGAAGTCCTCAAAGAAGATGAACCGTGAACACCTATTGCTGAGAACAGCCGCACAATTTAAACATACGAGGAATTTCGTCAGTCCAATCCCAACTTTACAGAAAACAAACTCAGTGTTGGACACAGTCGTCCCTAAATCATGCTGAAATTGGCCCAAACTCGGGCAAGACACTTAGAGCAGGACCCCCACCCTTTCTCCCAGGAAGGACAATTTTCCAAAGTGACGTTGCTAATTACAGTTCTTGTCTTCCTGGATACCCTATGGATACACCACAGGGAATAAGGGGGGACGACACGGAGGCACAAAGACAGATGTTCCTTTTGTCTAAAATGAGATGTGTGATCTCTACGACTGACTGAACAGTCGGTAGGACTCTGATTAGTTTGTTTTCAGACCTGAAATGTGGAATATTTATCCAGTCTCACATGGACACATTTTCAGAGTCTCCTTGGTGCTGGACCCCGGGCCCTGCCAGACTCAGAGGGGAAGGACACAGATGTAGACAGGTGCGAATGAGACCGTGTTGGAAGCAAGCAGTGTGGTTTACGCGTGCACCGAGTGCCTCACGCACGGGCACGCAGGAAAGGGCTGTTGAATGAACGGACGGCGTGTGATAAAGGCATGGCGAGGGCGCTACATTCTGAAAACAGGGGGAGGGACAGTGGGTCCAGGGAGCTAGGACTTGCCCCAGAAGGTCGAGGTTGGGGGACTTTCGAAGGGGATGCACTGAGCGATTTAAATGCATTTCAAGCAAAACAGAGACTTTGCAAAGATGTGAACACAAGAAAGGGTATGATCAGTGCAGAAAACAGACACAGAAACCAAACATGGGGGTTTAGCGTGTGTGACGGTGGGGCTGGCGGGAAGGTGGCAGGTGTGGGCCGAGGTTAGACGCGGCAGACCAGCCTGGGGACTCGGGGACGCGTCTCACCCCTGGGAGGGGCATGGGAGAGGGTAGGAGAGGCGGTCACTGCGCTGACCTGGTGAGAGGTGTCACTGTGCTGAGCCTCCGCCGGACACTCAAGTCCCTGGTGGGCTCTGGGGGCTCCCCAGCAGTGAGAAGAGGAGCCAGTTAGACCCACGGCAGAGGGGGGGGATGCGCACGTAGGAGGCATTCTGTTTGGAATATGATGCATTTCAGGTGCTGCAGCAGGTCTCACAGAGTGAGGGGGTGGACAGATACTCGACTTTGTACTTCAGGGTCCCCAGCTGTAACCGAGCATCTTGCACGCTTGCTTTAGGGATGGAAGAAAAATGTTAGTGCAGTGCCTGGAGCCTACGCGGGACCCGGTGAAACATGGTGACTGCTCTTGGATCAGCATCGCGATTCGCATTCCTGCTCAGGAAGCCAGCAATCCAGCAGGCTTGTCCCTCCGCACAGTTTGGACACTTACTATTGTGCGGTTTGTCACCCCTATCAACACTTCCCAGATAATTCAGACCGGGAATGAAAGGGAATGGTAAGGATTTCATGTCTTAGAAAATGATTTCTTCTGGTTGCTTGGGTGCATTTCATATTCTAGTAAAGACGACATGATTCGTCTGATGCCCTGGAGGATGCTGGCATGCATCGGTGCCCAGAGTTGAGGGACTTCATGCCCATCCTAGCGTGTGACTGTGGTCAGTCCCTTCTTCAGTGTGGATGTCCCTTTCTTCATCCGTAAAGTGAGGGCCACTGGGTGACTGCTGAGACTCCACCACCTCCAAAACCCAGGATGATTGGTCACCTGCCTTTTGAAACTTAGCATCTCTTAGAAACGTAATAATCGAAACAAGAATAATACTTACTATAACCAGAAAAAACCTGAAGAGAATATATATTGGTCTATATAGCATTTCTAAGATGAAATAAACAGAGTTCTGAGCTTTCTTTTGTGTGACTCTTTCCACGCACCGGGGAGACTGAGTCAGGGGCCTCGGACACACATGGCAGCACCTTGGAGGACTGGCTCCCTCTGCCTTGCTGTCCACCCCCTCGTGCTGAATGACCACCTGACAGCGAGTCAAGCCCGAGCTCCACGGCAGTCAGGCTTCTGGGGAGATGGCCCTGGTCAGGAGACTGCTAACGTGCCCAGTCTGTGTTTGTCCAAATGAAGACTTAGCAGTAAGCGCACTTGCTCTTGCAGAGTCGGCCCGCAGCGTCCAGGTCATGATGCCTGCTGGTCCCTGCCCATCAGGAGCTCTGTTCTGCATCAGGTTACCTGCACAGCAGGTGCCCACCAAAACAGAACACCAGGCCTCCCGTTGACCATCAGACTCATGTAGATTGCTGGGAAGTGATGTACAACCAGCCAACTCTGCTACTCAGCGATGCTCCTCAAAATGCTCCACCCCAACTGGCACTGGGAGACTCCTTCAGACGGATAAGCCCGCACCACGGCTGGGGTTCCTGCTTTATCTCCCCTCCCATCCGCACACACTTAGCTGCCCGAGATCTCCAGAGGGCCCACTGGCTCAGACCTTAAACGGCCAGGGAGGAGTGTGCAGATTATCCTTAAAACACAGGCTGCAATTAGAAGTTCACAGAACTGGACTTTGCTCTGGATAGACAGGCCGCTGGGATTCTGGAAGGCGGCCTGTCTGGCTAAAATAACATCTGAAAGCCTGGGGTCTGAGCTGCAGGACGTTGTAAGTGGGGGTCAGGCCATCGGGACGGCCCCTCTTGTTCCCGTGGTCAGGACAGGAACCACGGCCCAGCCCCTCCTGCTCTGGTTCATTTTCCCATCTCTGGTGCCCACCACGGCTCCCTGTCCTCTCGAGCCCTTTGCGGTGGCGAGCCAGGGGCGTGGTGGGGGGGGGG